GGTCGGAGGGACGGTTCGTGGCGGAGGCTCGCCGTGGCCAGACAGCCCTGACTCCGGATCCGCCCTACTTTGGGGAAATTCGTAAGTAGGGCTTGGAATTTCCGCCTTACTTTTCAAGCCCCGCTGATGCCAATTTCCGCCCTACTTTTCTGTTGCTGTGTCTGTGGATTTCCGCCCTATTTTATGTTGGGTGCAGCAATTTCCGCCCTACTTTTTCGGCCTCTTCTAGGTGGATTTCCGACGCAATTTGAAGTTGGACAAAAAAGCCGAAGTAGGGCGGATCCGGAGTCAGGGAGGCCCCTTCGCTTCCCGCCTGGCGCTCACGGACGGCCGCACGAGGACCGTGAGCAAAAGCCTTCGGAGGTCCGCGCGGCTTGCTTGGATCAGCGCTGGGGGCCCCCGCTGGCGGCGCCCCGGCGCCGCCCCAGGGCGCCGGCGGCGCCGATCTCGGAAATCCGCGCCGCGGACCTCCGAGAGTTGATCGGGAGCGGAAAAGAGGGGGGTGATGACTAGGGGGGGGTGGATATCATGGCGCGGGCCATGATATTTCCCCAGATTTCATGGCGCCTCTTCTTATTTCATTACGTCCCTGGCCCCCCCGTCGGGCCGCGCACATGCCGCCGGTCATGATTTGCACCCCCCCCTCTTTGACGCCCCCCTCTTTGCCGCTCCCGAGTTTATGCTCCTGCCGTTTTGTCCTGGTACCAGGTCCGTTTCAGGCCTTGTGTCCATCGGGGCCGGGCGCGCAAACGCGGGTTCACGGCCAAGCGTGAGGCGGCTGGCCGGACGCCAGCGAGATGTGAGGCAGCGACTCGCTGCAGCTTGCCGTTGTTCTGCTGTTGCTGCTGCTGCTGCTGCTGCAGCCCCAGCGCGCTCCCTCCCTTTCCCCGCCCTCCCTCCCAGACCTCCTTGCCTAAATGAGCCAGAAAGTTTCACCAGCTGCATGCCTGCTGGCAGTTTTGCACTGCTTTAACATGTACTGCTTGATTGCATATGCGTCCCTGCGTGGCCTCGGGCCTCGTTTCCTCGTCGCTCGGTCCCTCCGTTCGTCGTCTTTCCCTGGCCCTCGCTCTCGTCTTTCGGGCCCCACGCCCAAATAGATCCCCTCCCTCCCTGCTTCCGCTTACGCCTGTCCAGCTCGAGCGCATCCTCCTTTACAGCGCGGAGGCGAGAGATCGGCGCCGCTGCCGCATTGCCCTCTGGAATTTTGCGACCACTCTGTGGCCTGCGGATCGCTGAGCTGCTTCCCTCGCAGGTCCTTTGAGCTTGCGCGCGCGTTTAAACGGTAGTCTGCGCACGCAGGGGCGAGCGAGCACGACCGAGCGTCATCCGCCCGCGACCGACCGGCCCTCCCTGCGGTCACCACCACCCTCCCTTCGCCACGAACGAACGGGGCCCCGAGGAAAACGGGTCCCAGACCCTGGGGCTTCCCCCAAAAGACCAGCTCTTCATCCCGAGAGTCGTGGGCCCGTGGAGGCCCCACGGGCCTGGAGACGGCCAGCGCCTTCCAGGAACCCTCTCCTCCAGGACCGTGCCCTCTTCGTGCTCCCTTGGCATCGCTTGGACGTGTGCATTTTTCCTTCGGCGAAGACCATCGAGGAGCATCCTTGATCATTTGGCGAAAAAGCACGCACGAAACCTAAAAAAACACAGGGAATGGACGTCCGAGCGATGGCGAGGTTCCAGGGCAGGGAGTCATCCCGTGGATCCGTCCTGCAGGGGCGCATCCTGACCAGAGTGTCGAGGCGGATCCAGCCGTGGCGGGAGGCCGGCAGCAAGGTGGCCACGCACGCCGGGAGAGCTCGGACCCCGAGCTTCGATTCTCGACAGGGGCCCGCCTCCCTCACGCCAGGCCCTCCTCCCCTGCCTAAGGGGGAGGCCGCGATGCGTGCACCCTTCGGGGCCCGCCGGCCAGGAGGGGGGGGGTGATGACCAGGAGGGGGGATACCATGGCCGGGGCCACCAGGTCTTCCAGGACGCCATGGTCATGTGTCCCTCTTCCGGGGCGCCCCTCGGCCCTCCCCACTTGTCAGGGCGCCCGGCCCCTATGAGCTACAAGGGTGTGTGACCGAAAGAAATCTGTGACCGCAAGCGTGCTCGGACCTGTGACCGAACACGTAGTGTGGCCGACGTTGTGATCGAAGCCGAGCTTCGTCGCAGCTCCGAACCGCGGTCGAAAGATGATTCCAGACACCAGCTTCGGTCACTGCACCCTCTTGATAGACACGAGGCTACGTGACACTCGGGCCGCGCACGTGTCTCGGGCCATGACTTGACTTGCAAGCACCCTTCCCAGACGCCCCGTCCTGGCCCCCCCCCCGAGCCCCGCGGGCCGCTCCCCCTCTGAGGTCCGGCGCTGCGAGACTCTTGCAGCAGCGCGAGAAAGCTCACGACCGGAGCTCCAGCCCCAGACCCCATCGCGAAAGAGCACGACTGTGGCGCAGTAAGCTGCAGCAGCGCGAAAGCTTACATACGACCGGAGCTCCAGCCCCAGACCCCATCGCGAAAGAGCACGACTGTGGCGCAGTAAGTTGCAGCAGCGCGAAAGCATACATACGACCGGAGCTCCAGCCCCAGACCCCATCGCGAAGAGCACGACTGTGGCGCAGTAAGCTGCAGCAGCGCGAAAGCATACATACGACCGGAGCTCCCGCGCCAGACCCCATCGCGAAAGACAACGACGTGGAGCATAAGCTGCAGCAGCGGCGGAAGCTTACATACGAACCGAGCTCTCCATCTCCAGAACACCATCGCGCAAGAAAGAGCACGACTACTGTGGGGGCCGCATTAAAGTTGCAAGCAGTCGTAAAGCATACATAACGACCCCAGAGCTCCAGCCCCAGACCCCATCGCGAAAGAGCACGACTGTAGCGCAGTAAGCTGCAGCAGCGCGAAAGCTTACATACGACCGGAGCTCCAGCCCCAGACCCCATCGCGAAAGAGCACGACTGTGGCGCAGTAAGTTGCAGCAGCGCGAAAGCATACATACGACCGGAGCTCCAGCCCCAGACCCCATCGCGAAGAGCACGACTGTGGCGCAGTAAGCTGCAGCAGCGCGAAAGCATACATACGACCGGAGCTCCAGCCCCAGACCCCATCGCGAAGAGCACGACTGTGGCGCAGTAAGTTGCAGCAGCGCGAAAGCATACATACGACCGGAGCTCCAGCCCCAGACCCATCGCGAAGAGCACGACTGTGCGCAGTAAGCCTGCAGCAGCGCGAAAGCAGACATACATGGAGCTCACAGCCAAGACCCCACGCGAAGAGCACGGGACTGTGGCGCAGTAAGTTGCAGCAGCGCGAAAGCTTACATACGGACCGGAGCTCCAGCCACAGACCCCACGCGAAAGAGCACGACTGTGGCGCAGTAAGTTGCAGCAGCGCGAAAGCATACATACGACCGGAGCTCCAGCCCCAGACCCCATCGCGAAAGAGCACGACTGTGGCGCGTAAGTTGCAGCAGCGCGAAAGCTACATACGACCGGAGCTCCAGCCCCAGACCCCATCGCGAAGAGCACGACTGTGGCGCAGTAAGCTGCAGCAGCGCGAAAGCATACATACGACCGGAGCTCCAGCCCCAGACCCCATCGCGAAGAGCACGACTGTGGCGCAGTAAGTTGCAGCAGCGCGAAAGCTTACATACGACCGGAGCTCCAGCCCCAGACCCCATCGCGAAGAGCACGACTGTGGCGCAGTAAGCTGCAGCAGCGCGAAAGCTTACGACCGGAGCTCCAGCCCCAGACCCCATCGCGAAAGAGCACGACTGTGGCGCAGTAAGCTGCAGCAGCGCGAAAGCTTACGACCGGAGCTCCAGCCCCAGACCCCATCGCGAAAGAGCACGACTGTGGCGCAGTAAGCTCATAGCCAGATCGACGCGTGTGGGTGCGGGAATCTGGAGTCCGAATCGGGCTTGTCGGCGTCGTTTCGGCTCGGGCGCAAGGCTGCCCGCTTATGCTGGTGCCCCGGCATGCCGACGAGAGCCGATCACTTTGAATGGCCAGCGCATGTCGGCGATATTCTTGACTCACCGAGCGCGTTCCACTACTCGCCAAGTGCCTACTGTACTCGCCCCCCCCCCCCCGAAAAACACGTGTCTGCTTCGATATAACTTATCGCAGATCCCGCGCGGCGGAACCAGGCCATTTGCGAGTAGCCACTTTGCGAGTAGTGGAACGCGCTCGTCTACTGACGGGGCAGTTGCTTCGAGGCAGTCCGCGAGGAAACAAGCTACCTTTCAGTCGGACCTGTCCCCCTGCAGGGGGATTTCCGACGTTTTTTTTGTGTATATAATTTATTTTATTTTTTAACAAAAAAATCAAAACATAGTCCAAAAATAGTCTGGGGACTATTTTTTGACCTTGTTGGGGTATTTTGGGGGTATTTCTTATTTTTCGTCGAAAACTCCCCCTGTAGGCGGACACGCCCGACATAAACAGCTGCCTCTCTGCGGCGCTCCCCGCGCCGGGCCGAGCTGTGCTGGCCCCCCGCGGGGCCCGCACGCTGGGCCGACGGCACCCCGCGTGGCAAGCTTGCCGCGCCCCGCCCGGAGGGGGGCCGCAGCCCCGCCCGTAGGGGCCACATGCGAACCTCCTCCCTCCTCCTCCTCCTCCTCCTCCTCCTCCTCCTCCTCCCCTCCTCCTCCTCCTCCTCCTCCTCCTCTCCTCCTCCTCCTCCTCCTCCTCCCTCCTCCTCCTCCTCCTCCTCCCTCCTCTCCTCCTCCTCCTCCTCCTCCTCCTCCCCTCCTCCTCCTCCTCCTCCTCCTCCTCCTCCTCCTCCTCCTCCTCCTCCTCCTCCTCCTCCTCCTCCTCCCTCCCCTCCCCTCCTCCCCCTCCGCCCCGCCCAGGGGACCACTTGCGAACCCTACCCCTACCCCACGATTTCTGAGGGGCAGGGTGGGGTTCACTTCGCTCGGGAGCTCCCGAACGAAGTGAACCCCACCCTCCCCCTCGGAAATCGTGGGGGGTAGGGGTAGGGTTCGCATGTGGCCCCCTAGCCCGCCCGCAGACCTCGACGACGCCATGGACGACGACCTCACGCCCGCCACCGGCGCACGGTCGTCGTCGTCGAGCAAGGCCCCCGGCGCCGCCGCCGGTGGCCCTCGGAGGCCCCCGTGCCGGAGGCCCTCCGGAGGCCCTCGGGCGCGGACCGCTTCGGGGAGGGCTCGCGGCTCACGGTGCCGGCCAGCGCTTTGTTGTCCCAGGGCCTCGAGGGATCTCGGCAGTTGGAGTCGGCAGGGAAGCTGAGGCGAGCAGGAAGGACGGAGAAGGGCCCCGCTCGTCGACGCGGCTCGGAAGACTGGTCAGTTTCGACCCTGGGAGGGGTCCCGGGACCGATTTTGAGCAGATTCGCCCTCGTCCCCTCCCCCTACACCGAATTTTTCGGGGCCCATCCAACGCAGACCTCCGGCCGCTTCCAACTCGGAACCAGCCTGAGAGAACCCACAGAAACAAGGCAGGGACCAATGGACGAGAGGCAGGGGAAAAGGGAAAGGGTCCAGCAATACTCAGCACCACCTGCACAGAGAAGAACCAGCGACGGGGGAGTCGTCAGCAGTACACTGCATTCCATGTACACTGGGCGAGAGTTGGATACGAATGTGGATGCGCGTCTAGTATGGGCAGGTCATTACGCAGACTCCAGCTGTGTGCCCAGCGCGTGGACTGCGCATGTGAGTCCAACCGTGTCCACTTGTGTGCCCAGTGCGTGGACTCCGCATGTTCTGCATGTGAGTCCAGCCGTGTGTGTTGTCAGCTTTGTGGTTGTGCCGCTGCTGCCACCTTTGCGGCTGCCGCTCCTCCTGTCCGCCCTCTTGATGTGCATCCGATTGTTTTCGATATGGTTGCCCTGTCTTGTAGAACTGAGCGCGGTGTTCTTGGCTTTGGTTATCACCTCGCCTGCCTATGCTGTGCAGACGACGTCATATCGGATCCAATCCTACCAGATCCAATCCAGCACCCACTCCCACAATGCCATACGTACCGCACGTAGCCTACATCCAACTTATGCTACCATCATGTGTCACTACCTCTTACCATACGCGTTTCATTACAGACCCTGAAAGGTATAGCTTACACCACGTCCTCTACAAAGTGTCGTAAGGCCAGATATCGTAGCCAATATCTCGGCATGGGGAAAAACGGGTCCTGGTGGAAACATGCCCTGGGTCCCAGGGTCTTCCCAGAACGAGGTTCCCGAGTTTTTGATGGCCCTGGGGCCCTGAGAGATGACATCAACAAGCGTGCAGGATGAGTTTCCTCCAGGACCCGCTGTCTTCATGCTGAGTATGCAGTCCCAAATCCAACCGGGCTCTGTCCCTCAGGCAATGCCCAAGAGGGGTCGCCACCAAGGAAGGTCGCCAGTCCCACCAAAGCTCGAGGTTCGAGGAGGTGGTGGTGCGATTTTTTGGGGCGCTTGGGGAGGCTCTGGGTGTTTGGAGGTAGGGTGTCCTGCGAGGTCCTCCTCGAGGGGTTGCCGACCCCCGCCGATGGCTCTGGAGACAGGTGGCCGTGACCAAACCAAGAGAGTCGGCGGCGCGCCCAGGGGGCAGTGAGACGAGGCATACCTTCTCAGAAGGCTCGGAAGGCCTCCAGCCTTCTGCGCAGTCCTCGAAGACGTTCCCGAAGACAGGGGAGGGAGGGAGGGAGGGAGGGAGGGAAGGAGGGAGGGCCTCTGAGAAGGCCCATCGCCTTCTGAGAGAGCCTGCGCCCTCCGACTCCCCCCCCCCCCCAGCTGGCCTCGCCCCCGAAAAAGGGATGGGGCTCCCCACGTCTCGCCATGGATTACTGCCGCGGCGACACGTAAAGACGAAACTCACGAAGACGAACCAGCCCGAGCCCAACAAGTTAGTTAAGAAGAAGACGAATCGTCATGCCAAAAAGTTAATAGTTAGGAAGACGAAGGCGAAGACGACAGCGGTCATCCAGATTTTGTGGAGTTAGGACATGTGATCGTTAGTACCCCCTCGAGGAGAGCCCCTGACAGCAGCCCAGGCCGCCCCTTTCCTCTCCAAGCCTGTCCCCTCCTTGCGCGGCCCCTGCCCTCTCCGAACCCAACCCGCCCCGTCGAGCTCCCACTTCGTCTCGTAGAAGACAGAAGCCGGATCTGGTTCTGGAGGAGCCGGCGGCCTCCCAGTGGCCCCCCTGAGGAGGGATGGGCTCCCCCCGGAGCGGGAGTCCTGGCCACCCGCGCCAGTGGCAGGAGAAGCAGGAGGGAGCAGGAGCAGGAGCAGGAGGAGCAGGAGGAGTAGGAGCGGCAGCGGCAGCGGCAGCGGCAGCAGCAGCAGCAGGCCCCAACGTGTGCCGGCTCTGCCAGCCAGCAGCTGACCGCTGACCCCTCGTGCTCCGACGCCGCCGCCGCCGCCGCCCCCGCCGCCGCCGCCGCCGCCGCCGCCGCCGCCGCCGCCGCCGACGACGACGACGACGACGACGACGACGACGACGACGACGACGACGACGACGACGACCTTAGAATTTTTTTGGGGGGAGGCGGCCCCAGGTCCCCACCCTCCAGAGAGCCACTGCCCCCCCCCCGAGGCTCAACGCAGGTGGTCAACGCTCACAGACCTCGACCCACCCTCGACCCTCCCTGATCGACCTTCGAGCGTCGACCCTCCCTGATCGACCTTCGACCTCGACCTCGACCTCGACCTCGACCTCGCTCACGCTCACAGACCTCGACCTTCGAGCGTCGACCCTCCCTGATCGAAGGCGACGACCACGGCACCGACGACGACGGCGGCGACGGAGGCCCTCAGATGGCCTGCGGAAGCCCCAGGAAAGGGCCGAGGCCGCGCGAGGCCTCGAGCCGCGACCTCCGCTGCGGCACCTCGCTCCTCGACCTGCGGGCCTCGAGCGACGGCGGGCGGCGGGCGGCGGCGGCGTGCGGCGGCCGCAACGGCGAGGCGGCGAAGGTCACGTTCGAGAAGAAGGGGCCTCCCCTGAAGCGGGGAGGGCCTGGGCACGGCACAGCGAGCCCGTCGCAGCCACTCTCGTCGTGGTCGTCGCCGTCGTCGTCGTCGTCGTCGTCGTCGTCTTCGTCGTCGTCGTCGTCGTCGCCGTCGTCATCGTCGTCGTCGTCGTCATCGTCGTCGTCGTCGTCGCCGTCGGCTGCTCAGTTTCTTCGACTCGACTTGCCTTCCAGCCGAAAACATGGGGATAGAGAGACTCACCCTCTGCATCCCCAGTCAGAGAGTTCCATGAACTCCGGCACTGCATTCGGAAGGCCGTGCAGTCGTCCGCTGGTACAGCGTGGGGCGTAGTGGAGGGTCCCTATAGGGCGTTCTAGAGATGGCCTCGCCTTTTGGAATCGGTAGGTTGATTTCTCTTCTTCAGCAGAAGCCCGCGAAAGTACAATAAGGGTGGCTCCGCAGGCGGGAACCAGCAGAAACGCGGCCGAAGCTGGCGGAAGTAAAAGTTCGACACCCCAAGATATGCAGATTGTTTTTGATCCATAATTTCTGGAGTCGGACCTGAAGAGGTGGACTGTGGAATCACAAAATATTTGTTCCATTGGGTCCAGGCAGGATCTCGCCCGACGGAGATGCTCCTTACTAGGACGGTCATACATTAGATGCCACTGGCAAGCAAGATTTCCATGAATGCCAGCTTCGGCTTGGGGTACCCCGCAGGCCGTGACGGATTCCGTGTCGAGGTTTACAAGGATGTGTGTTGTTGACGTCATCTTCCCCTTCCCTTGCCCTCCTCCAGAGGTCGGTACTGGAAAAGGACTTCGGGGGCATGCAGGGCAGGCGGAGGGGGAGGGGAAGGGCGGCGGCGCCCAATGTCAAGGTCCTTGGGCTCCTGAACTCGCCCCGAGTGCTCTCATGACAGCTCTGCAGAGTGCGCTGGAAAACAGGCGTGGGAGGCGCTCGCAGACGGAGATCCACGGTCTGGTAAATGACGTCCTCGACGACGATGGCAACATTGTCGACCCGGGCAGCCAGAACAGCGCCGCCCCCGCCGTCGGAAAAACGCAATCATTGGCGGCGACGTCGGTGATGAGGAGGACGCCGTTTCATTCTCGTGAAGCCAGTTCCGTTCGATATCATCCTCTTCATTGGCTATTGCACATGTATGCATTTACATGTGGTCGTGATTGCTGCAGAGATAGTGCGTTATAGCGCGTCCACGGTAGCTTCTCTGTGTAAGACTTACGCCTGACCACGGCGTGCCTGGAAGTTGTTTCTTCGATAATTGATTCAGCTCCTACTGCGTCGGGCGCGTGCCTCCTCACCGCATCTTGGATTTTGGTGCTAGCACTCGCGGTCGTGAAACTAGGGTGTGCGTCGTTTGATACGCAATACCCCTCTACTATGCAAACTGTTTCGTGGCCATTGGCAGTCAGTGGTCCCCGTAACGTCGATCTGCATGTCTATGAAGAGCAGCAGAAATATCTGGCTTGGTGTCCATCTCCAGATCCCGATGATATTGAACTGTACTTCTCAAACACTGCCTCCAGGGCGTGCTCGACGAGGGTGATGGCGAGGGTGCGCCCGACGCCTCCGTGCATCAGCGGCAGCTCTTGCAGTGCTCCTTGTGATGACCACGTGTGGGATAGCCTTTGCCATGCTTACAGGCTGCTTGCATGTGGGAGTCGTGCAACCCCGTGTTCTCAGCAGCGCCCCCTCTTCATGCTCGTCGTAGCGGTCGCGATTTCAGGTGGGCGCACAGGAGTACTTGTGAGGAGGAAAGGCGAGGAGAGAAGAGGAGAGGAGAGGAGAGGAGAGGAGAGGAGAGGAGAGGATAGGAGAGGTGAAGAGAGGTGAAGAGAGGAGAGGAGAGGAGAGGTGAGAGAGGGGAAGAGGAGGAGAAGGCGGAGGAGGAGGAGGAGGGGAGGAGGAGGAGGAGGAGGAGGGGGAGGAGGGGAGGAAGGGGGAGGAAGGGGGAAGGGGGGAGGAGGAGGAGGAGGAGGAGGAGGGAGGAGGAGGGAGGGAGGGAGGAGGAGGGAGGAGGAGACTCCCGTCCCGGACCCGCTGCCGACGGTCCCCCGGGGGGCCCGAGGCGACCTCCCGAGGCACGGGTGCGGGGTCCACGGCCGGGGGGGGGGGGCACGAGCTCGGGGGCGGCTGCGCCGACCCTCGCTCGCCCTGCCCTCGCCGACGGGGTGCCCTATCGCCCACCTCCTCCTCCTCCTCCTCCTCCTCGCCTCCTCCTCCTCCTCCTCCTCCTCCTCCTCCTCCTCCTCCTCGACCTTCTGCTCCTCCTCCCCCTCCTCCTCCCCAGGAGAAGCCCAGAATGGCCCCTGGCTAGCCCAAGAGGTACCCAAGACGGCCCACGAGGGAGCCAGGACGACGGCCCCAAGCAGGGGCCCAGAGAGGATGCCCTACGAACATTTCAAGCTCTCCCCTGACTCCGGATCCGCCCTACTTTGTTTTTTTTTCTAACTTAAAATTGCGTCGGAAATCCACCTAGAAGAGGCCGAAAAAGTGGGGCGGAAATTGCTGCACCCAACACACAAAATGGGGCGGAAACCCACAGAAACAGCAACAGAAAAGTGGGGCGGAAATTGGCGTCAGCGGGGCTTGAAAAGTAAGGCGGAAATTCCAAGCCCTTCTTACGAATTTCCCCAAAGTAGGGCGGATCCGGAGTCAGGGCTTGGCGTCGCCCGGACGTGTGCATTTTTTTCCTTCGGCGAGAGGACCCTCGAGGAGCATCCTGGATCACTTGGCGGAAAAGCCACGCACGAGGCCGAAAAAAAAACACACGGGGAATGGGCGTCCGAGGGATGGCGAGACCCCGCCCAGGAACGCCCAGACTCGCCATCGGGGGCCTACCGCCGCTCTCTCGATCGCCAAGTCCGGCCCGAGGTTTCCCCCCTGCGCTCGTCCCCCCCCCCCCCTGAATGCCCCGCCTCGCATGTTAAGGAAAGAGCAGCCGCCGCCGCTCTTGCTCTCGTGTCCTCTTCTCCCTCCTCCCTCTTCTGCTTCTCGTCCGGCGCCGCTGCGATCTTCGTGCCACCTCGTGTCGTTACCTGCTGGCGTCTTAGCACTCCAGGTCACGCGCCTGGTCAGGAGCAGCCTCCCGCAGCGCTCGCTGCCCGCTGCCCGCCCGCGGACCGATGGAGCGTTGCGCTAGTGCACGAGGCAGAACACCGGCCGTCGTGAATTGTCATGGCGCTGCACCTGGGGGGCCTGTTCCGGCTTGGCGCCTGGTGGCAGGGGGGGGGGCAATGCATCCCCAGGACGAAAGTTTTTGCCCTCTGGGCCCGGAACGACGGTTTGAAGTCTTGAGCAGGCGCGTGCGAGATAACCGCCGTCGGATGATCCAATGAAATTCGCGCGGATCCACTTTTGGTCTTGGTTTCTGTTTCGGCGGATCCGATGTCAGTCCGCGCGGATCCGATTCCGGATTTTCTGGATCCGCGTTTGGTGTTTTTTAAGGCGGATCCGATTTCGACCCTGTTAAAAAATTACATTCTTCAATTGAAGCGGGGAAAGGAAGAAATCGGATCCGCGGACCCCGGAACCCGCCCGTGTTAAGTTCCCAGGATGGGTCCCGCGCTGTCTCGCGCACTCCCATCAATTTTCCGCGCGCGCGTGTCCCATTCAACATGGATACATCTCTGTCGTCCCAGTTGCTGCACGCAGCTTGTCCAGACGCCGTTCGTTCGGTGGCGCCGATGTTATCTCGCGCGCTCATCATCACCATTTTCACCTCAATATGAAAATCTCTTGTCCTGCGCAAGTAGTCGGGAGGATCTAGGATTGCAGGGTAGCGGCCTTGAGGGGGCCTGGAGCGGCCCCAAAACCGCAATCGCGGGCCCAAAAGGTGTTGAAAAGGTGCGGGTTCCTTTCCTCCCACCCTGTTTACCGCCCTTGATGTTTGCATGGGCGCCAAAACCGGGCGCTTGGTGGTGGGGGGTTGATTGCCTCCAGCGAAACAATTTGCCCGGGGAGTCCTTGCCCTCGCCTGGAGGCCTCGTGCAGCGCGCAACAGTTGTGTCAAGTAGTGCACGCGTCCGCTCCTTAAAACATGGGCCGACGTTCGCGCGGCGATGCTCCGACGTAAGTCCGACGTGATTCCGACGTAAAGCCGACGTGGATTTGACGTGAATTGGGTCTCGAGTTGCCGCGCGAGGCCTCCAATCTGTTCCTCATAACCTGCTGCGCGACATGGCATAGCAGCAGTCCAACTGACGTCTGGAAAGCCTTCATGCTCGCCGTTAGCGAACGCCGCTACCTCGGTGCGTCGACCTAGCGGCGTCGTCTGTTGCCCACCAGCAACAACAGCCCCACCGTTAGCGAACGCCCGACCTGGGAACGCCCCGACGTGGAGCCACCCCCGCGCGTGTGAGGCGCGTGCTGCGCGAGGTCTGGGCTTTGCCAGCGCCGCCGAGCAGGGTCGCTCCAGTCGGCTTCCCAGCCCAAGATGGCTTCAAGAGGGCACCAAAAGGCTCAACTCATTGACTGTCCTAATACTTTCGTCGCCGTCGTTGTCGTCGCTCTCCTCCTTCTCCCTCTGCAGAGGTCGTGATCATACGGAGCCTCCTCCGACTGGGTACACCTTAGGCGATGGTTAAGAAAACCCAAGTTTTCGGCCTGAGTCTCGATTATTCTTAATGTTTCCATGTACATCCTAAGATTTCGATGGAAATTCTGGGCTTCTACTCAAGTTCTGAGACTATGAATTTCTTAACCCATGATTTCTTAAGCATTTCGCAGGGTGTACGCCCGCGGCTCCAAAGAGGACCAAGGGCGGCACCCCAGGCATGCCTCAAGCGAGAGGTTGGGCCTTGCTTCCGTGAACTTCGCAGAGGCCCTCCTCGTCTTGAGCTTCCCTATCGTGGTGGCTGGATCGAACTCGGCTCTTATGCGGCCGTACCGTACCTTACCTCCTCCCTCCCTCCTCCCTCCTGCTCCCCTTCGCCTATGCCGAAGGTGAAGGCCATCGAGGGCAAGACGCTCGCGCCCGCGCTGAAGCAGCTGGACGCGAGCTGCCGCGACGCCATCCGCGCGCACCTCATACACCAGTGGGGCACTGGCGTTGAGGCGGCCAAGAGGCTCTGCGGTCACCGGAGGGGGGTGCGCGTTCTCAGTTGTTCTTCAAAGCGATGTTTGTGTTACCCACCTTTTTTAATTTTTTCGCTTCTGACTCGACCAGAACATGTAAAAAACGGCACCCCAGACAGTGGACGTCAGGCAGGCGGCGTTGCGATGATTGAAAAGCGCAGCTAGGACAACGCAGTGAAAACGGAAAGAAAACGGGCAGGCGGACCACGGGCGGACCCTAGGCCTGACAACGTAACAAGAAAGGTGCCCAACACACACACACACCCACACACACACCCACCCACCCACCCACCTACGCACGCACGCACGCACGCACGCACGCACGCACGCGCGCGCACGCGCACACGCACGCGCACGCGCACGCGCACGCGCACACGCACACGCACACGCACACACGCACGCACGCACACGCACACGCACACGCACACGCACACGCACACACGCACACGCCACGCACGCACGCACACGCACACGCACACGCACACGCACACGCACACGCACACGCACACGCACACGCACACGCGCACGCGCACGCACACGCACACGCACGCGCACGCGCACGCGCACGCGCACGCGCACGCGCACGCGCACGCGCACGCGCACGCGCACGCACGCGCACGCGCGCACGCGCACGCGCACGCGCACGCACACGCCACGCACACACGCACACACACGCACACGCACACGCACACACGCACACGCACACGCACACGCACACCACACGCACACGCACGCACACGCACACGCACACGCACACGCACACGCACACGCACACGCACACGCACACGCACACGCACACGCACACGCACACGCACACCAACACCAACACCAACACCAACACCAACACCAACACCAACACCAACACCAACACACCCACACCCACACCCACACCCACACCCACACCCACACCCACACCCACACCCACACATATACACATATACACATATATATACATATATATATATATATAAACAAACCGAGTGTCAAAATGGGGAGAACACGCCCTCAGGGTTTTGAAGAACATCTATGGGCGCGCTCGGGGGGAGGCTCTCGGAGTGTGCACCTGCTGATGTATGCCTCGCACTTCTGCTGCCCCTGAGATCTGGGCGTTGCAATGCGTGTCACACCGGACGTTTTCCTTTGATGTACCCCCCCGCGACTCAAGCCCACCCACGACTCATGCCTAAACCCCCCAATTCCCCCAGCCAGATTTCTGTTCCTTCCGTGGAGGTCCAACTTCGCGGCGAGTCGTTATTCCCGGGACCCCTGTCGGCGCATGGATAGGTTTCTTTCTTCCGCGCGCGTACTGCCACTGGAATCCCTGAACCCCTCCAGCTAGAGTGCACCTAGTACTTGAGTACAACTGGTACCATCATGTGCTAGCGCGCAGCTGCTCCTAGAGCGCACCTGGTATTTCAGCGCAAGTATTCATATCCAATTGCGATTGCGGGATTTACGGAAACAGTACAGATTCGTGACTCAGGAATAAGGATGCACTACTGGATCGCGATTTGGGAGCACGGAAGCATAATATAATTGCGATTAAGAAAACAGGAGACAGTCTAGAATGTCGATTTCGCAAATAGGACACACAGTAGCGTGCAAGGAATACTGGTACAACTCCCGAGTACAACTACTAACATAATGATGCTGCATTACATGTATAATCTGGGCTCTCGCGCTTTTCCTCTTCTGGTTGCGCTGGGGGAGTGGTGGGACCCCGCGCGCCAGCACCCCCGCGGCTGAGAGTTCATTCCTCTTCCGGAGTTTTAGGCAGGGGCAGCTCCCGTGCCCGAACCCCTCGCCAAGGATGTTATTGTTTTCCGCGGAAAGCGGACCCCCCTGGGTTCCTCGGCGCGCTCGGGGAATGTTTCCCTCCCGGATAGCCTCCCATGGGTCTTCTGTTGGAGTCGCCCGTGTGATGTATGCATTTTGAGATCCAACGTTGCGATCAAGATGCAACGTCGCGAGACATCACGACCAGAGCCCGAGACCCCATATTTCCGCTGATTTTTTTGAGCTGGATCGATCTGTGATGGCCCTGGGACTTGAAACCGAACGAAAAAGCCCAGCGCGCAAAAATTGCAACGCCCAGTTCTCTGATGTCTTTCTTCTTTCAATACGGGGCCCCCAGAGCTCTGGGCCGCTTCCCAGGGACCGGTTCTTCGCCGCGGACTGCTTCGTGGACGGTCCCGGGTCGGCGAGGACCCACAGACGCGGAAAAGGTTCTTCGTTGCGTTTCTGTGCAGTGCGCTGGAGGTCTGGGCCCAGGGCACGCCAGGCCAGGAGGGCGTATTAAAACAGGGCTAGGATCGGGATAAATCGCTCCAGAGCGTTCCGGAGCGCTCTCAGAGCGTTCCGGAACGCTCTGGAGCGGCCGCGGCGCCCAACACATCCTCCAAACCCGCCGATTCTCAGAGATTTCGAGTTATCGCGCCGTTTTACGTATACGCGATCTTCGCGTCGTTTGTCCCGATTTTCGCGATTCTGTCCCGATCTTCGCGTCGTTTTACGTATACGTCGAAGCGTTGGCCCACGATGGCGGCAGGCGTCCCCCCGACGCCTCAGGCCGCCCGTCCTCGTGTGCCAAGCCATCCTGTCGCCGAGCGCTGCTCGGCCGCGCACCCGGAGCCGTCCCCAGACCACCCTCCTCCTGCTCCTCCTGCTCCTCCTCCTCCTCCTCCTCCTCCTCCTCCTCCTCCTCCTCCTCCTCCTCCTCCTCCTCCTCCTCCTCCTCCCCTCCTCCTCCTCCTCCTCCTCCCCCTCCTCCTCCTCCTCCTCCTCCTCCTCCTCCTCCTCCTCCTCCTCCTCCTCCTCCTCCTCCTCCTCCTCCTCCTCCTCCTCCTCCTCCTCCTCCTCCTCCTCCCCCTCCCCCCCGACCACCGACGCCGTCACGCGCTTGCACCGTGGACCGCTGGAGGTTTGACCCCTCAGGGGCCGTTTCTCACCACCCACCAAACCACCCCAACCCAACCCGAAGGCCTCAATTTGCCCTCCATTTCCAGTGGGGGGGGGTCGGGGAACATCGAAAAAACACGTATGAAGCCCGTACCCCCCCCCCAACCCGAAATTGGGGTCTTCGGGTTGGGTTGGGGTGGTCTGGTAGGTAGTCAGTCACACGCTTGCACCGTGGACCGCTGGAGGTTTGACCCCTCAGGGGCCGTTTCGATCCGCAGAGGCTGCGGGTTGCGCACGGGGCGCGCCCCTCAGGCAGTCCCAGCTGGCATCGACAGGCCCCCGAGTCGTCCCAGCTGGCCTTAGCACGCCCCCCGAGTAGTCCCAGTTGGCTTCAACACGCCCCCCCCCTCAGGCAGTCCCGGCTGGTATCGGCAGGCCCCCGAGTAGTCCCAGCTGGCCTTAACACGCCCCCCGAGTAGTCCCAGTTGGCTTCAACACGCCCCCCGAGTAGTCCCAGCTGGCTTCAACACGCCCCCCCCCCTCAGGCAGTCCCGACTGGCATCGGCAGGCCCCCGAGTCGTCCCAGCTGGCCTTAGGAGGAGGAGAGGAGGAAGGAGGAGGAGGAGGAGGAGGAGGGGAGGAGGAGGAGGAGAGGAGGAGGAGGAGGAGGAGGAGGAGGAGGAGGAGGAGGAGGAGGAGGAGGAGGAGGAGGAGGAGGAGGGGGAGGAGGAGGAGGAGGGGGAGGAGGGGAGGAGGAGGGGGAGGGAGGAGGAGGAGGAGGAGGAGGGGGAGGATCTGGATGAGTCGCCTGGGGCGGTCTCAAGACCCTGGCGCCGCCTCCCGCGGCGCCCCCGGGGGGCGCCCCGCGCCCCGGCACCGAGGCGTCGAGAGCGGCCCAGACTGCTCGGGGGCCAGTTGTCGGGGGCGGCAAAGATCACCACCCACCAAACCACCCCAACCCAACCCGAAGGCTCAGATTTACCCTCGATTTCCAGTGGGGGGGGGTCGGGAAACATCGAAAAAACACATGTGGAACCCTTACCCCCCCCCAACCCGAAATTCGAGTCTTCGGGTTGGGTTGGGGTGGTCTGGTAGGTAGTCAAAAGAGGGGGGTGGTGACTAGGGGGGGGATGTCATGGCGGGGGCCATGATATTTCCCCACATTTCATGGCGCCTCTTCTTATTTCATTGCGTCCCTGGTCTCCCCGCTGGGCCGCGCACGTGCCGCCGGTCATGATTTGCACCCCCCCTTCTTGGACACCCCCCTCTTGGCCGCTCCCGAAGTTGAAGCCATCAGGGATCATTCGGGGGGTCTGCTGATGCCAGTTGGGGCTGATTACTTGTGGGGACTGCCTGCGCGCAGCCCGAAGCCTTACCAATTTCGATCCGATCGGTCGATTTCGGCCGGCCCGATCCGATTCGATTCCAATGTTCCGACGGTCCGATGCGTCCCGATGTTCGCACGGCGTCGTTGCGTATCCTAACGCGGCCGCTCCGATTCGGTTCAAGTCCCGCGCCGATGCGGCCCGATCTGATGCACATTCCGATCCGAGCCGATTTCTCGATAGGGTGCTGGCTGGTCCTGCCATTTCTCGGAGGTGGATAGACCTCCTACCCTGACACGTCGATTAAGGAATTGGCCGTTTTCGATCCGCGAGAGGGCGTCGCGGCCGTCATTTTTGCGGGTCCAGGTCCGTCGGTTTCGGTCCCAGGCCGTTTTCACTAAGGGGAGGTCTACTAAAGGGAGGTTTGTCCACCGCCGAATTTCCCTGGGGCCGGCTTTCCAATCCGAGTCGTTTCCCCCAGCGCCCCGTACGGGCCCCCAGAGGCCGAGAGCGAGCCAAAGCCTTCCGTCGTGATGTTTCCCAAGATACGAGGAGTTCTGGCTCGGTCATGGTTCTCTCGGGTCTCCAGCTGCCGTTCGGGATGATTCGGGCACCACCGGACGCTCTCGGCGAGGCGCAGCTGCGAAGCACTCCGAGGCAGAGCCTCCAGGAATCGACGACAACGTGCAGCCGAGAGGGAATCCCCCGATCCCTCGAGGGGCTGAAGGGCAGCCTTGGGGGAGGGGGGCCACAGGGGGGAAACGTCGACCTGGAATCGGCGGTGCATCGCTGACAGATCGGCGATGGGCCCTCGACAGCGACACCACGCGGTCCTGGGCGGGCTTTGCCATCAGGCCCCTAGCGGCGATGAGCGGACGATCATCAGGAGGGAAAAAAACACAGACACAACTGATCGTCGATTCCCCAGAAAACATGGGAAAATATGGGAAGTGGGGGGGAAGACAAAAACCCAGAAAACAATGAAAATATAGGGCATCCTGCTATTTGCGTGTATTTATTTGTGTGCCCCAGGGCCCCTTCAGATCAGGGGCCGATGCGTCCCTCCCTGAGCCTCTCCGCCCCTTGCGCTGCCCCCGAAGGAGGGGCGCACCTGGCGCCTCGACGCCTCTCGCGCTGCGGGGGGGGCACTCGGGCCACCCGCCTGCCTGGCACCGCCTCCTCCCCGGCATCGCGGCGGCGCGGGGGGGACGGCACCAAGTGGCTCTCGGTCACCGAGCGCTTTCCACTACTCGCACAGTGCCTACCCGCAAACGTCCGAAAAACACATGTCTGCTTTCATGTAATTTATTGTAGATCCCCCGCGGGGGATCCAGGCCATTTGCGAGTAGTGGCTTCGTGAGTGGAACGCGCTTGCCTGCTCGGAGCGGTTTCGCCGAAGGCCCCCGGTGGGGTACGGAGCGGTTCCCGGAGCGGAGGGGGGGGCTCTCCGGAGGGGGTCTCTCAGAGAGGGTTTCTGGGAGAGTTGCGGATTGGATCTCGTCGAGGGCACGCGAGAGGTGGGTTTGTCGGAGGAGGGGGCGTTGAGACAACGGCAGTTGGCCCTCGGGGTTCTCTCGTCGCCACGGGCGAACGCAGCCCGGAAAGTTGGTGCGTTTGGAGCCCGGTAGGGGTCTAGGGGGACCGATTTTGAGCTGCCGCTGTCTCAGTTCGCCCTGCTCCGAGTCTGGCCCGAGATCGGGGCTGGAGAGCGAACCCAACTCCTCCTCCTCCTCCTCCTCCTCCTCGCCCTCCTCCTCCTCCTCCTCCTCCTCCTCCTCCTCCTCCTCCTCGAGGGGGTCGTCCAGAGCGACTTGTTCCTACCAGGAAGCTGTCTACACAACATGACGTGGCTGGCCTGGGCGAGTGCTGGATACACACGTAGCCTCATGTTTTTCCAGCAGTCGGCCCTCGTTTGGCCAAGCACGGTGGCCCTCCACATCTGTATCCAGCCAGTGAACTCTGGATGTCCCACATGTGAATCCAGCCATGTGTGTCTGCAGCTTCTTGGTATAATTCGCCCTAGCTGTGGCCCTACACCCCCATCTCATAAGAGGAGGAGGAGGAGGGGGAGGAGGACGATGATGATGATGATGATGACGACGACGATGATGATGATGATGATGATGATGATGATGATGATGATGATGATGATGATGATGATGATGATGATGATGATGATGATGCTGCTGCTGCTGCTGCTGCTGCTGCTGCTGATGATGATGATGATGATGATGATGATGATGATGATGATGATGATGATGAGGAGGAGGAGGAGGAGGAGGAGGAGTGATGAGGACGAGGCGCGGGAAATTCCCCATTCGAAGGCAACCATCTGAGAATCCTCAACTGTGCCAGAACACAATTCCTGGGACTTCAACGCCGCGAATCAATATTATTGTTGCGTCCTGACAATCCTGAATTGTGCCAGGACGCCGTTCCTGGGACTTCACCACTGCGAATAAACCGGACTTTGGGGCCCTGACAATCCTAAATCGCTCCAGAACAGCATTCATGGGACGTCAGCCGCAAGAACCCTTGAAATTGTTGTAAACTTAAAACGAATCTACGCGGCGCTAGAGCGAGAGCCGCTTTCATGCGCGCGGCCCGTAAACGAGAGCTACGTTTGAAAGCCACGCGCCCTCCATCCGTGAAGCTGTTGCGAACTGTTCAAGCGAATGTGCGGGGCACTAAGGCGAGAGCCACCTTTTGAAAACCACCCGCCCTAGATCCGCGAACGTCCTTGCCAACTTCGGAATGTGCGCGGCGCTCAGGCGAGAGCCGCACTTTGAAACCACCCGCCCGCCATCCGTGAAGCTGTTGCAAATTTTAAGATGTGCGCGGTGCTAAGGCGAGAACATCCCTTTCGAAAACCACCCGCCCCCCCCCATCAGTGAAATTGCTGCACGTCTTACGCCTCGAGATCATACACGAAGGATCGCAAAAAAAACCCAAAGTTTTTGCAATCCAGAGTTTTTTTGCAATCCGTCTTTTTTTTGCAATCCTTTTTTTTGTGCAATCCAAAGTTTTTTGCAATCCTTCTTTTTTTGCTATCCTTCTTTTTTTTGCAATCATCAGTGAAATTGCTGCACGTCTTACGCCTCGAGGTCATACACGGGGGGGAAGTCTCCGGCGACACGCCTGGCCCGCCCTGCCGCCACGCCTCGGGGTGCGACGGGGAGGAGCTATCCACGAGGAGCGTGGATGGAGGAGGAAGGATTGCAAAAAACCCAGGATTGTAACGAAGGATTGCAACGAAGGATTGCAAAACACCCAGGGTTTTTTTGCAACCCTTCGTTCAAGGGTTTTTCTGCAACCCGTGTTTTTTTTGCAATCCTTCGGTTTTTGTTTGCAATCCTTCGTTCTGGTGGCAAAGGGGAAAAAACAGAGGCGAAGATCGAGGGAGAGAGAGAGAGAGAGGGGTGAAGACGTGCGGAGAGGGGAGGGGGCGGAGCGGGGAGCGGAGCGGGGAGCGGAGCGGGGAGCGGAGCGGGGAGCGCGGGAGGGCTGGGCACCTCGAGGGCGCGGGGAGCGCGGCTGGGCACCCCGAGGGCGGGCACGGAGCACGTAACGCAGGGAGGAGCGCGGGAGGACCGCCGCCGCGCTGGAGGCCAAGCAGCCGCGCGCGGGCCGGCCCGCGCGCGCGCGGCGAGCCGCAGGCTCGACGTGAACGGGAACCACCTGGTGAGCCTGCAGGAGCGGCGCGCGCAGAGGCCTCCTGCGGAGAGCGGAGCCTGAGATCCGGCGCCGCGAAGGATTGCAAAAAAACCCAGGATTGCAAAAAAAAAAAAGGATTGCAATCCTTCGTTTTTTTGCAATCCTTCGTGAAAGTGCCGCCGCGCACGAGAAATCACGGTCGGAGCCCGACGGACCCCCTATGAGATCAAGACGCTGCGCCGAGACGCGCAGCAGCACGGCACCGCCAGCTTTCACGAGCACGATCATTGCCAGGATTACGACCGGAGCCCTGCGCCCGGTGGACAAAAAATCCTGCGCTACCCGCGCGACCAGTGTGGCGGCGCGAGCTTCAACGCGCCCCCCCCCCTGCCCCCGATTCAGTGCTGGTTGGCGTCGCCAGCGGGGTGGAGGATTTCGGCCAGTCGACAGATCGACACATCGCGTCGCAGGCCCCCGACGTGTTAGAGTCAAAAAACCTAAGAAGGACGCGCGACTTTGCTCAGGGTACCCTTGCGTCCTTGCTCTTCCTTGCTCTTGCGTCCTTGAGGTTTTCGTCGTCCGCCGCCCCAAGAATCCCAACTTCGGCCTCTAAGGGTCTTGCGGCTTGCGTCACCGCGCGTCCTTATTAGGGTTTTTGACTGTAGACTGGGGGGGCGTTATTGACCAAAAATCGGCAGCAAGCATGCTGGGGAGCGCGTGCCCGGGCTGGCGGGAGCGTCTGCCGGCGCGGTGCCAGGCGGCGCTGCTCCTTGGGGAACTGCCCCGCGCGGGTGGCAGCGCGGAGGCGTTTGCATGCTTGGCGGCGCAACGCATTGCGCAGCTCCCAAAGGTCCCGGATTGAGCCTTTGGGCGGGGTCGAGCGCCGCGGCTGCGCGTGTGCTCGCTTTCGCACGTCAACAGCGTGCGGGACTTTGCCCACCAGCGGCAACCCCCGTCCTTCTGCGGCAGTCTCCGAGCTGGGCCGACCTGTGGTGGCCCCTGGGGGCCCGAGGCCAGGCGCGGGCGCCCGGCGAGGAGGAGGGGGAGGAGGAGGAGGAGGAGGAGGAGGAGGAGGAGGAGGAGGAGGAGGAGGAGGAGGAGAGGAGGAGGGAGGAGAGGAGGAGGAGGAGGAGGAGAGCCCCCGAGGCGGGCGGGCGGGGGGCGTTATTGACCAAAACCAACATGAAAGCTGCGTGCGGGACTCTGCCCCCACCAGCCGCAGACCCCGTCCTTCTGCGGGCATGCTCCGAGCTGGGCCGACCTGTGGTGGCCCCCGGGGGCCCGAGGCCAGGCGCGGGCGCCCGGCCGAGGAGGAGGAGGAGGGAGGAGGAGGAGGAGGGAGGAAGGAGGGGGAGAGGAGGAGGAGGAGGGAGGAGGAGGGAGGAGGAGAGGAGGAGAGGAGGAGGAGGAGAGGAGGAGGAGGAGGAGGAGAGGGAGCCCGCCCGCACGCCTCGGGGGCTGCCCGGCGCCGCCGCGGGGGGCGCCGCGAGGGAGCGCCGCCCGAGGGCGCGGCGGGGGCCGCCGAGGGGCCGCCGGGCCCCGCGGGGGCGCCGCCGGGCCCCGTGGGGGGCTCGGAGGGGCCGCGGCGGGCCCGCCCGGGGGTGGCGCCTCGCTTCGGAGCGGGGCCGCGCGGCAGCGCCGCGGCCCTGGCGGAGGGGCCGCGGCGGGGCCGCGGCGGGGCCATCCGGGGGCGCACCAGGCTAAGGCTAAGCGCACCTAGCTAACCGCACCAGGCTAAGCGCACCAGGCTAACCCCACCAGGCTAAGGTACCAGACTAAGGCACCAGGTCAAAGGACCAGGCTAGCCGCACCAGGCTAACCGTACCAGGCCAACTCCACCAGGCTAACCGCACCAGGCTAACCGCACCAGGCTAAGGCACCAGGCTAAGGCACCCGGCTAAGGCACCAGGTTAAGGCACCAGGCTTACCGCACCAAGCTAACCGCACCAGGCTAAGCACACCAGGCTAACCGCACCAGGCTAACCGCACCAGGCTAAGCGCACCTGGCTAACCGCACCAGGCAAAGCGCACCAGGCTAACCGCACCAGGCTAACCGCACCAGGCTAAGGTACCAGACTAAGGCACCAGGTCAAAGGACCAGGCTAGCCGCACCAGGCTAACCGCACCAGGCCAACTGCACCAGGCTAACCGCACCAGGCTGACCGCAACAGGCTAAGGCACCAGGCTAAGGCACCCGGCTAAGGCACCAGGTTAAGGCACCAGGCTGACCGCACCAAGCTAACCGCACCAGGCTAAGCACACCAGGCTAACCGCACCAGGCTAACCGCACTAGGCTAAGGCACCAGGCTAAGGCACCCGGCTAAGGCACCAGGTTAAGGCACCAGGCAAACCGCATTAGGCTAACCGCACCAGGCTAAGACACCAGCTTAAGGCACCAGGCTAACTGCACCAGGCTAAGGCACCAGGCTAAAGGCACCAGGGCAAAAAACACCAGGGCAAAAAGCACCAGGCTAAGCACACCGAGCCAGGACACCAGCAGGCTAACGACACCAGGCCAACGGCACCAGACCAACGGCATCAGATTGACAGCACCAGGCTTATGGTACCAGACGAAAGGCACTGGGCTAAAGGCACCAGGCTGAATGCACCAGATTACCGGCGCCAGACCAACGGCACGAGATTAACGTCTCCAGACTAACCGCACAAGGCTCACCGCACCAGGCTAAACGCACCAGGCTAAGGCACCAGGCGAAGGCACCAGGCTAAAGCACCAGGCGAATGCACCAGGCTCAGGCACTGGGCTAAGGCACCAGGCTAGCCGCACCAGGCTAACCGCACCCGGCAGAACATTACCAGGCTAACAGCACCAGGCCAGGGCACCAGGCTACAGAGGCTACGGGCCAGATGAGCGGCGCCAGGCTACAGCACCAGGTTATCGGCGCCAGAGGAGCGACACCAGGCGGAAGCACCAGCTTTTAGCTTGGTGCTGTTAGCCTGGTGCTGTTAGCCTGGTGCTGTTCGCTTGGTGCTTTAGCCTGGTGCCTTAGCCTGGTGCCTCAGCCTGGTGCATTGGCCTGGTGCCTCAGCCTGGTGCCTTAGCCTGGTGCCTTCGCCTGGTGCCTCAGCCTGGTGCCTTAGCCCGGTGCCTTAGCCCGGTGCCTTCGCCTGGTGCTTTAGCCTGGTGCTTTATCTTGGTGCCGCGCTTACAGTTAAGAGCTACTCTCAACGCAGCGAGGGCCAAAGATGCACCAGGGGGGGCGGACGACCGAGCGATGGCGAGCCGGGCGATGTCGCGAGCAAGGCGGAGGCGTCCGCCCCCTGCGCACGACGTCGCCCGGAGAGCCCGGCGGCTCCCGCGTCCGAGCGGGCTCCTCGGCGTCGGGCCCGCGGGACCACCACGCATCGATCCGGCTTTACCCTCACAGTCCTCCTCACAGCTTTACAGATTGAGGGCATTGGTACCGTCCATCTGCTCTGCACCGCTTCTGTTTGGCAGCTAGTTGCGCAGCATGTTCGCGGTATCATCAGGCAAGACGCCAAGAGACAAGCAAGAGTAAGGAAAAACAAAAATCACGCATCGATCCGGCCACACCAGGCTCGGCACGGACGGAATGGGTACGGAAAGAATGCGTAGGATGCCCAGCAGCAGTTCTTGCTCATTCTGAGCAGGACTCGCTGTCGGTGTCGCCGCGGCCTGGGTCCATTTGGGACAGACGGCCGCCTGCCCAGCAGCGGCCGCTGTTGGTTTGGGACAACTTGTGTTGTTGGGCATTGTGCCCATTCTTTCCGTACCCATCTCGGGCGTCCAGACTTTTCGCCCGGCCTCGGGCCCTGGGCCCGGCACGGATCGGTCCGGCTCGGGAAGTGGCGCAGACATGCTCCAGGTCCGCCGCACGCTTTGGTGCGACTGCGCAAATGGGGCGGGAGAATGGTCGCCACACTTTTCCTTCGGGCTCCTTTGGTGTCGATGTCCGCCCAACTTTGCCGTTGCAGCTTCGCCATGCCTTGGCGGAGCTGTCAGTCCCATTTTCTGAGGCAACAAAATCCGCAATTTTTTGTCGCATCGTTGTGGCTTGCATGTCCGACTGAAAATCTTATCAAAATGATACAGCGAATTCGGAGTCAGGGCCAGGAGTGCCCCCATCTGGCTCCAGATCCGCCGTATTGTGTTTGATCCTGCGACTTGCAAGGGTGTCAGAAGTCTATCCCGTAGGATGCAACACATTAGTCAATTCCCCCCTCGGACTAAGTCGGACATATCTGGCATATGTTGGTTGGCGTTTCCCATCTTGGGGGAACATTTCACAGCTTCGTGAAGCATTCCGCAACTTGATAGAACATTCCACAACTCTTTCCAAGAAGTATGGCGGACATCAGCAAAAGTAGGTCGCAAAGAGC